TGATCTGAAGAGGCACATGCACCCCAATGTTTATAGCAGCAATGTCCACAATAGCCAAACTATGGAAAGAGCCCAGATGTCCAACAACAGATGAATGGATAAAGAAGATGTGGTATATATATACAATGGAATATTATGCAGCCATCAAAAAAATGAAATCATGCCATTTGCAACGACATGGATGTAACTAGAGGGTATTATGCTAAGCGAAATAAGTCAATCAGAGAAAGACAATTATCCATGATCTCACTGATATGTGGTATTTAAGAAACAAAACAGAGGATCATAGGGAAAGAGAGGAAAAAATAAAACAAGATGAAACCAGAGAGGGAGACAAACCATAAGAGACTCTTAATCATAGGAAACAAATTGAGGGCTGCTGGAGGGGAGGGGAATGGAGGGTTGGGGTAACTGGGTGATGGACACCAAGGAGGGCATGTGATGTAATGAGCACTGGGTATTATATAAGACTGATGAATCACAGACCTATACTTCTGAAACCAATAATACATTATATGTCAATTAATTGAATTAAAATAAAAAATAAAAAAAGCATAGAAAAAATATTTATTTGAGAGAGAGAGCGTGCACACACGCACACATAGAGGCAGGAAAAGGACACAGGGGAAGGGAGAGGGAGAGAGAGAATACCAATATCAGACTCGACACCGAGTTCAGAGCCCATACGGGGCTTGATTCCACAACCCTGAAATCATGACCTGAGCCGAAACCAAAAGTCAGATGCTTAACTGACTGAGCCACCCAGGCGCCCCAAGGACAATCTAATAAATGGCGTTGGAAAAACGGACAGCTACATGCAAAAAAATGAAACTGACCACTGTCTTACATCATACACAAAAATTAACTCAACATGGATTAAATCACAAGTATTGTTGAGGATGTGGAAAAAAGGGAACCCTCGTGCACTGTTGGTGGGAATGTAAACTGCTACAGCCACTACTGAAAAGTACGGAGGTTCCTCAAAAAATTAGAAAAAGAACTATCATATGAGCCGGCAATTTCACTACTTACTATCTATCCAAGGGGGGGAAAAGCACTACTAAATGAACAAGATATATGCACCCTTATGTTTACTGCAGTCTCTTCTACGTATCTATGTGTATAGGTTTTGTTTTGTTTTTTAGATTCCATACTTAAGTGAAATCATGTGGTATTTGTCTTTGTCTGACTTATTTCACTTAGCATAATACTCTGTAGGCCCATCCATGTTGTGGCAAATGGTAAGATTTCATTCTTTTTTATGGCTGAGTAGTATTCGTGTGTGTGTGTGTGTGTGTGTGTGTGAGAGAGAGAGAGAGAGAGAGACATATTCTTTATCCGTTCATCTATTGATGGACGCTTATGCTGTTTCCATACCTTGGATATTTTAAGAAATGGATATTTAAGAAATGCAGTAAGGGTGCATACAAAGTTCCAGTTATAAAATAAGTAAGTCATAGAGATAGAATATACAGCATAAGAAATATAGCCAATAATACTGCATCATACTTTGATGACACATGTTAACTAGACTTATAGTGGTGATCATTTCACAATGTATACAAATGAATCAGTCTGTTGTACACCTGAAACTAACTGTATATGTCAATTATATTCCATTTAAAAAAAGAAAAAGAATCTATTATTGAAAAAAAGTAAGTAACAACATAAATTAGAGATAAGAAGTTACAACAATCAGATAAAGGAGTTCAAATGGCTGTATCCTGAAGCAGGAATAAAGGGATTGTTTTTATGACAAGCCTTACAGAACTATTTAACTCTAAATTAAATCATGTACATGTATAATATAAATAAATTTTTAAAACTATGTAAGTTTAATTTAAAAACCAGTGTGAATGCTTATGAAAACATGGCAATAAAATGGATTATTTACAGAAATGTTAATAAACTGCTCTATCTTTAAAATCAAAGCATACTATGCAATATAATTATGACTCATCATACTTACAGTTCACCATAGATCAGTAAGTCAAAATCACCTATATATACGGAGACTTCTCATCCTAATGGTTTATTAGCTGGTGGCTGCTACCACTTAGCTCTACTACCCAATTGTTTCAAAAAGATTCATTCACCTTAGAAACTGCCAGATTCAATCAATTTGATAAACCAATGGTTTCTGAAAAAACCAAAAGCCATCAATTAAATACATATCAAGTTGAGATTTGTAAAAGCAGCATGTAGCACAGAGTAGTGGGAGAACAGTGACTGTTAATTGGAATCCTATGTCCCTGGAATAACATTATACATTATAATAACATTTAACTCAGGCCATTATCTATTTCATGTGGAATAGCAGAAACCTTGAATTTTGCAGTTGGGTACCCTGAAATCCCTTATTTGGCTTGTACTAGTTATATGGCTTTAGGTAAGCTACTTAATCATTCTGATTACAAAAAAGAGAAATCATATCACCTACCATGTAGGATAGTTCTGAAAACTAAATGATATGTACAGAAATGTAAAAAACCACCCTGTGCATAGTCAGCACTCAATAACTGGTATCAGTTAAATATATTCATACCATCTTTTTATCTTTTATAGCAAAGACCTGTGGCTTGTAGTTACCAGTGTGATGTCAGGAAAGCCCCTATGAAAATAATCAGATGCAGTCAAACTTGGGAACACAAGGCAGAGAAAGGGCTATATAAAACTCCCAGAAGGGCGCCTGGGTGGCTCAGTTGGTTAAGCGACTGCCTTCAGCTAAGGTCATGATCCTGGAGTCCCTGGATCGAGTCCCGCATCGGGCTCCGGGCTCGGCAGGGAGTCTGCTTCGCCCTCTGACCTTCCCCCCTCTCATGTGCTCTCTCTCTCTCAAATAAATAAAATCTTTAAAAAACAAACAAGCAAACAAAAAAAACCAACTCCTGGAATTGTACAGGAACAGTACAATTAAAAAAAAAAAATCCCCTTTAATCCTAATACTGTAAAAATAACATTTTTGCATTATCTGGGATTCAGCAAAGCTCCCCAGTACCTGCAATGGGCTTCAACTGCAGCCATTTAAAACTATAAAAGGATAACACAAATCAGTGAAAACCACCAAAGAAGAGAAAAAGAAAAAAAATGCATAAAACTAATTGCAAAAATCTCTCCTCATCTCCAGTTTCTTTTTTGAACTAAGTGAAATGTAAGTATCAGAAAAAGGAACAAATTCATTAAAGTTAGCAGGGTTTCTCACATATACAAATATGCGAAGTATTTACTGATAAAATGATAAAGTGTTCTGAGTTGTGATACCAATTAACTTACTCAGGCTTAAAATAGTCAGCCTATAAATGCCCAAAACTATAAGCACTTCATAAAAGCATATGCTTCAGATTCAACAGCAATTAGATACTACTATTTACTCATATTTTGGGGGAAAAAAACTCTCTACCTCGAAATAATACAGAGAGAAAAATAATACAGAGAGGCAGAGCTCCCTATCAGACTCCATGAGAAAAGCAGTATGTTAAAATAAGTCAAAAGCAGCTTTAAATCTATCTTCAGAATCTATAAGTCGTTTTTACAGCTCCAAGTATGCCATCTGCCTCCCAAACATGTTCATTATTTGCATTAAATTATTGGTGTATTATCTGCATTAAAATATCAGAAATATAACAAGAAATTCAAGTTAAATATTTCATTTTGGGGGCGCCTGGGTGGCTCAGTCATTAAGCGTCTGCCTTCAGCTCAGGTCCTGATCCCGGGGTTCTGGGATTGAGCCCCGCGTCGGACTCCCTGCTCCGCTGGAAGCCTGCTTCTCCTTCTCCCACTCCCCCTGCTTGTGTGTTCCCTCTCTCGCTGTCTCTCTCTGTCAAATAAATAAATAAAATCTTTAAAAATAAATAAATAAATATTTCATTTTGTAAAATCCCCCTTTACAGACTATTATCTGTGCAGATCTTGGAGAAAATTAGTATTTTCCTAATAAGTTATTAGTATTTTAAAACTTAATTTTGTGACCATTAAATACATTTATCAACAAAAAATTTTTAATTATAGTCTATTATTTTTATGACAGTTAATTTTTAAATTTTAATTATTAACAAAGAGCTCCATTCTAAATTATAACATAAAATATATTATTTTACCCTTTCAAAATAAAAGAGGAAAAAGACTGATGGTAATGGAAGCAAGTACTCTAACTATTTTGTTAAAAATAAAGGGGACAAGGGTGCCTGGGTGGCTTAGCCGCTAGGCGTCTGCCTTCGGCTCAGGTCATGATCCCAGGGTCCTGGGATCGAGTCCCACATTGGGCTCCCTGCTCGGTGGGAAGCCTGCTTCTCCCTCTCCCACTCCCCCTGCTTGTGTTCCTGCTCTCGCTAGCTCTCTCTCTGTCAAATAAATAAATAAAATCTTAGAAAGAAAGAAAGAAAGAAAGAAAGAAAGAAAGAAAGAAAGAAAGAAAGAAAGAAAGAAAGAAAGAAAGAAAGAAAGAAAAGAAAGAAAAGAAAGAAAAGAAGGGAAGGGAAGGGAAGGGAAGAAGGAAGGAAGGAAGGAAGGAAGGAAGGAAGGAAGGAAGGAAGAAAGAAAGAAAGAAAGAAAGGGGACAGGGCGCCTGGGTGGCTCAGTTGTTAAGCGTCTGCCTTCGGCTCAGGTCATGGTCTCAGGGTCCTGGGCTCAAGCCCCACATTGGGCTCCCGCTCAGCGGGAAGCCTGCTTCTCCCCTCCCACTCCCCCTGCTTGTGTTCCCTCTCTAGCTTTGTCTCTGTCAAATAAATAAATCTTTAAAAAAAAAAAAAATGGGGCACCTGGGTGGCTCAGTCGTTAGATGTCTGCCTTCGGCTCAGGTCATGATTCCAGGGTCCTGGGATCAAGCCCTGCATCGGGCTCCCTGCTCAGCGGGAAGCCTGCTTCCCCCTCTCCCACTCCCCATGCTTGTGTTCCCTCTCTCACTGTGTGTCTCTGTCAAATAAATAAATAAATCTTAAAAAAAAAAAGAAAGAAAGAAAAAATAAATAAAGGGGACAGAAATTCTTTGGACGAATCTTTACCATTAAGTTGTTTACTTCAGGGGTGCCTGGGTGGCTCAGTCGGTTAAGCATCCGACTCTTGATCTCAGCCCAAGTCTTGATCTCAGGGTTGTGAGTTCAAGCCCCGTACTGGGCTCCACGCTGGGCGTAAATAAATAAATAAATAACACTTGTTTACTTGGTATTAATATGAAAACCCCAAGAAGCCAAGTTTTCTTGATTATTATTCTTAGTAGTGCAATGGTGGTAGGGATGCAAGGAAATGGGTACTCATACTCACTGCTACTGGAACACAATTTACAGTGGCAGGTAGGAAACGTGGCTGGCATATATCAATCCTGAAAAAAGGGTAAGACCAGAAAGTCTCTACAAAATTGTGAGATGGTTTTCTTTTCTGAGCAGACACCAAAGGAGGAGGGTGCCTGAAGCACCATCAGCCAAGCAGGCCGGGCAGTAGCGTCTGCAGGCCAGTCACTGGGCTCTTCGAGGTGCAACAAAGCCTATGAGATGAAGATGACTGAAGGTCGTCCTGATGTTTTCCAGAAACCCCCAAAGGACGGCTGTAATAAAACCACTAAAAGCACAACTGCATGTAATGAGCATATAGATAGCTGCAGATGAATATCAAGTCCATAACTACCGTGGTTAAAATTCTTCGTTGCCTCAAAGGCATGCAATTGGAAGAAAAAATGAAGAATTAGTCAAGAAGACATGACTTGAGACAAATGATGAAAATATTTTCTTTAACACTGATCACATCACAATAAGTTATGTAGAAAAATACACGTTTGGGGGCACCTGGGTGGCTCAGTCGGTTAAGCCTCTGCCTTCGGCTCAAGTCATGATCCCGGGGTCCTGGGATCGAGCCCCGCATCTGGCTGCCTGCTCAGTGGGGAGCCTGCTTCTCCCTCTCCCTCTGCCTTCTGTTCCCCCTGCTTGTGCGCTGTCAAATAAATAAAATCTTAAAAAAAAAAAAAAATACATGTTTGAAAACTTGTAATTGCTGGGCAATAAAGTTTATTATCTTTAAAATATAAAAAAAAATTGTGAGATAAAAATCCAATAAACAGGTGTTCCAAACCTTTCTGTGCACAGCAGCCACCTATTTATATTTCCCAAGAAATCTCTTGAAGGTCAAAATTAGAGCAGAATAAAAGGAATACTCACACCTCCACCTATGACCATGAAAATACTTGAAAATGTCACTGATTTAACAAAATTTTGGGGGTCCCCTGGGTCGCTCAGTCGGTTAAGTGGCTGCCTTTGGCTCAGGTCATGACCTCAGGGTCCTGGGATCGAGCCCCACACAGGGCTCCCTGCTCAGTGGGGAGCCTGCTTCTCCCTCTCTCTCTGCCTGCCGCTCTGCCTATCTGTGCTCTCTATGTCTCTGTCAAATAAATAAATAAAATCTTTAAAAAAAAATAAAAAATAAAAATAAAAAAATTTTTGTTACTGAGTATGTAATATACACTAGGCACTGTGCTAGGTGGAAGAGATTTAAAAACGGCTTTTGAAATTGAAATTGCAAGGTCACACATTCTGATGAAGAAGAAAGGCCTGAAAACTGACAAGTACAGTATCCTTTTGATAAGGGCTATAATAAGGAATATGAAGGAATCTGAAATGGTATCCAACAAATTGAAAAGGGGGCACAGGGTAGGGAAAAAGACTTGGCTCTTGAGCTAAAGAAATGAGGGTGGGAAGGAGAAGGGCAGTCCAGCCAGAAGAACAGGAACAGCATTTACAAAGGCAGGCTGACTCAGGAGAACTGCATGTTGAAAGAAATGCAAATCAGGCCACTTGGGTGGCTCAGTCGATTCAGCATGTGACTCTTGATTTCAGCTCAGATCACGATCTCAGGGTTGTGAAGCCCCCTGCCAGGGCTCTGTGCTGGGCATGAAGCCTGTTTAAGATTCCCTCTCTCTCCCTCTCCGCTGCCCCTCCCCCTCCAAAAAATAAAAAATAAAATAAAAAAGGAAATGCAAATAAAATGGCTGGGCTCTGTGGGGGAGGACATGGAAGGAAGGCACAAATGACGCTGGTGTGATAAGGAAACACCGTATCACAGAGGCTCTCTATGCCTTGGGATTTTGCCAACCACTGCCAGCATACTCCAGTCTCTACCTGAAAAACCCAAGTGAACTGCAGGAAGAAAGTGGTCCAAACATCCTGGGAAATAAAACAGTGAACAAACCCTATGAAACTTACAGTCCAGAAGGGAAGAAAAACCTTAATTAATAATTTAAATAATCACAGATGGGCAAAGACAACCAAGGGACTTAACCTCCTTGACAGTGGTTAAAGAAAAAAAATAGTGGGCGCCTGGGTGGCTCAGATGGTTAAGCGTCTGCCTTCGGCTCAGGTCATGATCCCAGGGTCCTGGGATCGAGTCCCGCATCGGGCTCCCTGCTCCTTGGGAGCCTGCTTCTCCCTCTGCCTCTCTCCATCTCTGTCTCTTACGAATAAATAAATAAAATCTTTAAAAAAAAAAAAAGAAAAGAAAAAAATAGTGACAATTGTCAAAGACAGTAAGGCAGACTTTATTCAGGAACGATGAGATAGATATAGGAACCAGTGCAATGGGATTTTACACTAGGGGGGCGGAGCACAGGTAGAGATTGGGTTCAAATCTAAATACAGCATGTGCAAGGAATTACAGCAAGTAGGAGCAGGGTATGGTGATGAGTGGACAGAAAATTACTAGGAGAAAACATCAGGGTTAGGAGGGTTCTGGCTAAACTGACCTAATGGGATTCTTGCTGAAGACAGGCCAGGTGATCAAACATCACCTGGAGGGACAGTGGAGGATGACGAAGCTAAATCAGATTTTGAAATTGGGGGAGGGGCTTCTGGTTAAACTGAAAAAGCAGGGTTCCTGCTGAAAGTAAACTTTATAAGTGCACAGATGAGCCTAGAAGAAGGTTCAAGAGCCTGACTAAAGTTTGGTCAAGCACTGAATCTGTCAGGGACTCACAGAATGTATCCAAGAACAGAGGTAGTGCTATATATATATGTTTGGGTTTTTTTTTTTTTTAAAGATTTTATTTATTTGAGAGAGAAAGTGAGAGAGAAAAAGAGCACAAGAGGGGGGTGCGGGAGAGGGAGAAGCAGACTCCCTGCTGAGCAGGTAGCCCGATGCGGGACTCGATCCCGGGACTCCAGGATCATGACCTGAGCCGAAAGCAGTCGCTTAACCAACTGAGCCACCCAGGCGCCCTGTTTGGGTTTTTTTTTAAGATTTTATTTATTTTTTGACAGAGAGAAAGACAGCGAAGAGAGGGAACACAAGCAGGGGGAGTGGGAGAGAGAGAAGCAGGTTTCCCACAGAGCAGGGAGCCCGACGCAAGGCTTGATCCCAGGACCCTGGGATCATGACCTGAGCCGAAGGCAGATGCTCAATGACTGACCCATTCAGGCGCCCCTAGGTAGTGCTATATTGAATCTCAAGGATTTTTCTTCTTTACCTTATTTTGAATCAGTTAACTCAATATACAGGCATCGTCCACTTGCTATTATCTAAAGCTTCTCAAACTTGAACGTGCCTAGGAATCTTAAAATTCATTCTAATTCAAGGTTTCAGGCCTGAAATCTTGCATTTCTAACATGCTCCTAGGTGATACCAAAGCTTCACACTTTAAGGATCTAAAGTAGATTTATCAAGAGCTATAATTATGTAGAGATATTGATCTCCTTAATCCTGGCGGTAGCCTTCTGTCCCCAGAGAGCCAACAGCAACCTTTCTTCCGAATGCTGCTATAAAATGACAGTGGTACTTTTTTCCAAATGTTGAATGGCATTAAAAAATAATAATAAAGTTATCTCTGGGCCGCCTGGGTGGCTCAGTCATTAAGCGTCTGCCTTCGGCTTAGGTCATGATCCTGGGGTCCTGGGATCGAGCCCCCGTCAGGCTCCCTGCTCTGTGGGAAGCCTGCTTCTCCCTCTCCCACTCCCCCTGCTTGTGTTCCCTCTCTCACTGTCTCTCTGTCAAAAAAAAAAAAAAGTTATCTCTAGAACCTAGAGTTATCACAAGAGAATACAGTCCCAACATCCAAATTATGTTCCCACTTAAGCAAAAGCTAAAATCAATATATCTCCATTGAGGCACATTTTGGTTCCCAAATGTCTAGCAACTTCTAATTGTACTTTGTACTTTTTGGAACAGTTTGGCTGTACCTGTAGTTTGGAAGAAAAAAAAAACTTTTATTTTTGTTCTTGATAACTTGTCATTTCCCAAATTAAAAACTGCAAGGTTGGGGTACCTGGCTGGCTCAGTCGGTAGAGTTGGAGCTGCATGTTGGAGGTAGAATTTACTTTAAAAAAAAACCAAAAAAACAAAAATTGACAAGGTTGACAAAGGATTGATTAAAAGGTAAACAGGCTGACTGTTAAGACCCCCTTGGGAGTCCCTAACAATAGACTAGAGACACAAGCAAGCATCAGTCCTCAAAACAAAGCTGTGCTCCAGTTGAGAGAATTTGGCTTTGTCAAATCGGTTTGTTGTTCACGGATTCAAAAGTGAAATTTTTAAGAGTTGAAAATAAGAGGGCCAGCTGAACATTTGGCAGGATGTGGGGAAGAGTTAGGGAGAATGGAACCAGGCATACGTGTGTAAAAAACTATAACCATGGGGAATTTTTAAACAAAGTTATTTCAGCAGTTAAATCTAATGCTATAGGGCACTAACAAGCAAACATTCTCTACAGAGCAAAGAGGCCATGCTGCTGCTCTGTCTGGAACATGATCTAGGCACCAAGATAACCAGAAAAGTTGCCATAAAATGTTTTCACCCCTACTGCTTCTACTTAATTATTCTATATTTACACTGAATATTAAGAAAGCACTTGGGTTTTGTTTTTTTGCTTTTAAGATTTTATTTATTTGAGAGAGAGAGAGCACACAAGCGGGGGGGGGGGAGTGGCAGGCAGAGAGGGAGAAGCAGGCTCCCCACTGAGCAGGGAGCCCCATGCGGGACTCGATCCCAGGATGCTGGGATCATGACCTGAGCCGAAGGCAGACACTTAACTGACTGAGCCACCCAGGTGTCCCAAGAAAGTGTTTGTTATACCATTACCTACTTCTACAAAGAAACACACAAAAAAATATTTCTCTAATACCCAAAACCACAACTACTGAACTATTTC